ACACACTCTCTCTCAGTTCACTCCCTAAGAAACTCTCTACTGACAAAGATACATGAAGCTATGCTGACAGCAGCAAGAGCCCTGGACCTGGAGAAACCATCTGGAGACCTCTGCCAGTGCTAAGATGCTTACAACACCATTGGATCCACAAGGCTTCCCACCCACTGGCCTGTGATCTTCCTGCACTCAGTGTCATTGCATGTGTTTCGTGAGTCTGAAGGGGACTTTATAGATTGGTATCAGACATGTGGGCTAATATCAGACTTATGGACTTGATCTGGACTGGGCTGGGATGTGGTCTCAATATTCAACTGCTCTTGTATATAAACCTCTTTCTTGCACACATGAGTGTGTCTATGGATTTGTTTCTCTAGTCTACCCGGAATAATACAGGCAGACGAATGACTCTGTTTCCTGATAGTTTGTTTGTTTTCCCTCCTTAGTGGAGGTAAAGGGGAGGCAAGGGCGAGACAGGAACCCGGGTTATTAGAACTTTTATGATCTCTCAGGAACTAAACAGCCATCAAAATTCTTTTACTTCACAAGCTTACTTTTACTCAGTGTTCACCATTTTATTAGGTAGTAGCCGACTGTGTGCCCCTTATCAAACTGTGTTCTATATCTACAAAGATTTCTGTAAGCTCTTCTACATAAGTGCAGCTAGCACAAGTAGTTGGACTCTCAGCTGCCAACCAAAAGGTGAGTGGTCTGAACTCACCAGCCGTTCCCCTGGAGAGAGATGGTGCGGTCGGCTTCCCAGACAATGGCAGCTATGGAAGCCCTCTAAGGACAATCTACTGTGTTCTGTAGGGGCGTTGTGGGTTGGAATTGAGGCAAAGGCAAAGAGTTGTTTTTGTTTTGAAGCTATTCCAAAGTTTCCTGGGGTCTATCAGCCAAATTAGATAGAAAAACAAGAAAGAAAGAAAGAAAGAAAGAAAGAAAGAGACAGTGGCTATCATGCAGATATTTGGAAATTAGGATTGTAGTTTCTCTCAATAAAGGGAAATATTACCCAAAGTTTTAGAGTGGAAGGCATTTTTTACCAATAAAGTAATGCAAAGAGGAGAAAAACAGAGAGGGTTTTTTTTAATTCTAATAAATATGGGATTTTAATATATAATGCAAACAAGATAGAATGCTTAATTAAACATACCATGGTTAGAAATATCCATTATTTTAACCATTTATCCAATCAAAAGATTTTTTGGTGTGTTTGTTTGTTATTTTTATTTCTTTTTCTTTTTTCAAAAGGATTTCAACTTTAACCCTAAAAGGAAATTATATGGGCACGATGCCCCTCAACGGGAGACTACACCAAAGAAACAAATGGCCAAAAAAAGATGGCAGGCCTGTGCCCTGACTGCTCGAACCACCAGCCTCCACCCTAAGGCTCTGACTGGGATTCTCCTGGCCTATGCCTGCCTCTTGCGTGTGCACAACTCCCACGTGAGCCCCAGGGGAGCTCAGAGTACTGACAAAATACATGTCTGTGCAGAGAGAAAGCAGGAATGAAGGCTATTACTCTCCACGCCTGATAACCCCTGACGCTAAACAGGCACTGCTAAGAAAAGCTCCAACCCTTCCTAATGGCGGAAAATCTCTTTTCAAAGACTGTGCCAAATGGACACAGGGAAAAGAGTGAACACATCACACACTTAAACGCCGAAGGGACATCACAGTCTGATTTTATTTTTTGAAGTCATGCACATTCGTCACAGAGGCTTCCTGTGTGGCATTCTCAAAAAATGAGACCACCTGTCTCAAGGCAACTGCACTCTCAGAAAAAGAGATTTGGTTTAAGTGTAATGGCACAGCATAAACTAAAACATTTTTAAAAATCACTGCCATCAAGCTGACTTCAGGGGCCCTTTAAGACAGAGTAGAACTGCCCCTGTGGATCTCTGAGAGTAAATCTTGACAGGAGTGGAACGCTTCATCTTTCTCCCGTAGAGCAGCCAGTGGTTTCGAATGGCTAACCTGACAGCAGCACAACGTGTATTCCATGATGCCACCTGGGCTTCTCATTGCAAACATGTTCTGGACTAAGTCGCCCAAGCATATTCACCCACTATTTTATCCTTTGAATTACTCTACCCAAAATCAACTTCGTATAAATCCACTTGACTACTTGCGGCTTTAGAAATGCCATCTCTCCCACACTGACAGATTCAAAAGCAAATGGAGCCAGTGTCTTTACCTGATCTTCACGAAACAACAGTCCGTGTTGCCTCCTGATCCTTTCCATGAGGTCCCCGCCGTCGCAGTACTCCATCACAATGAACAGGCTGTTGCTTTCTGCGAGGAAAGACACCGTTTGGCATAGAGAGAGGGCTGCCAATCTCTATGAGTCATTAGCCTTGCAAGTTCTAGAGGGTGGAAAAATAACTGCAAAATGCAGTAGTTTTTACCCCAACCTTGTGGGGGTGGAATCGGGACAGGCTAGGGTCTAACCCCACTTCACTAGTTAACACTTAGTTCTGTGACACGAACACGTTATTGTAATTTCTCTGTGCTTCGCTACCTCTCCTGTCGAATGGAGATTTAGACACTTCCTTTCAGGACTGTTATCAAGATGAAGTGACTTCATTCGTGCCAGATGCTTAGAGCAATGCCTGCAGGTGATACTTTGATGCATGTTAGCTTTTTTTTTTTTTCAGGCTTGAATTTTTCTATCTTATGTACGAATAGTTGGCATTGTTTCAGTCCAGCTTGATGAAGCCGATGTCCTTCGCGTACTGACGGAAACACTGACGGCACATATTAAGGCCGTATTTCTGGATCAGACCGTGCTGGTTTGAGCACTCGCGGCAAGAACGGGAGCCCTGGCCGAATTTTCGCGGGTGGCTCCAGTAGAGCTGCTGGTGACCCATCTTGTTCTCAGGCTCTCTCCGAGGCAAAAGGCGTTAGCTATTGTTTTTAATACATTCTTTCAAGAGATTACAAATCTGCTTTTAAAATACACGCTATGAGTCTTCCCAACACCCTGGAAGGACTGAATAGCCCTTTCGAAGAGGAGTACTGAGGCAAAATGAGTTCCTTTAGAGCAGTGGTTCTCAACCTACGGGTTATGACCCCTTTGGCGGTCGAAAGACTCTTTCACAGGGGTTGCCTGACTCATAACAGTAGCAAAATGGCAGTGATGAAGTAGCAATGAAAATACTTTCATGGTGGGGCGTCACCCCACATGAGGACCTGCATGAAAGGGTCGTGGCAGTCGGAAGGTTGAGAACCCTGCTTTAGGGGGTCTTTTACCTCGGTTCTTTGGAAAACTAGCTTGAGAGATATTTCCCCCCCTCAACCCTAAGAGTTATCTTTGTCTTAGCTTCCTACAGCAGAGGCAACTTTTGTCCAGATGGATTAATAGTTCCTGTATAAATTACTACCTTGTTTTTGATACTTTTTGCCTGGTCCTAGACTGGAGCGTGCCTATGCATAGAGTGCTCCTTGCACGGAGTGGTCAATCGAGTATGCAAATGAAGTGACGATGCACTGGGAAAATGTGGTGCATTGTAGCCTACTATGCAAATGAAGTGTCTCTGACCTCCTGAGAGAGGACTGGTCAGTGTGTGACCCTCGGGGCAGGCTATACCTTGAAAGTGATGAGGAGTCTGTATCTCTCGATGCAGCACCACGAAGCTGACTTCCAGACAGAAAGAAGCGGGAAGAGAAGAAGGAGAGAGAGAAGAGTCAAGGAACCTCTTAAACAAACTGCAATGAGGCTGGGGTGACAACCCTGAAGACAGCAGGAAGCCAAGAAGGGACCCAGGAGCAGAGCCAGTGGCGACAGATGGCAGGGCCCTGACCAGCCTGTCCTCAGGAGGCTGAGAGGAAGCCTGCAGGGCCAAGAAGGGCTGAGAGAGCGCTCCTGCACTGAAGAAGGGAGACTTTGCCTACACGCTTCCCGGGCTATGTCCTGAGGGGTATAACCTGCTGCTCCCGACCCCTGCTCCTTACTAAACAACTTAACTGCAATCAGCGAGTTCTTCAAGACCACGACCACAGATATCAAGCCTGCCAGCTGGCCTCAGACCGGGTAAAAAGGCAGCAGGAAGCGGGTTATGTCTGACCTCCACTGCACCGGAGTCACCTCTGCGCAGATGGTGACTCTCAGCACCTGCCATGAGGTTGGACAGGAGTGGTTCCGACAGGACCCCGACTACTACCACGTACAGGTGTATGCTTCCATTGATCCAGCACTTCTTCGGCTACGTGCTGATGAGAAGCTCTTCTCCCAGACTTGTGCTTCACCTCCTTGCTAGGTTAACAGGCACGCTCCATGAAAGAGCCGGCTGCTCATGGTTTGTGCTGTTGGCCATCAGGCCGTGTGGGAAGCCCAAGCACCCCTGCTTCCTACCAAGATCATGGTGTTGGTTCCAGCTGTACTTGTTAGCTGTAAATTACTGTTCCTTGGCCTGGTGAAACTCGAATGGGAAAAGAGAGAAGGCTATTGTGGACTCCCATAACTAAGTTAACTGTTTTGCAGGATGCCACCCACGTGAATACCACCGAAACCACCAGCATCAAATCAATTCTGACTCTCAGTGAGTCCGTGCAGGGCTTCAAAGGCTGTGCGCCTTTATGGAAACAGACGGCCTCGTCGTTCTCCCAGGAAGAAGCTGGTGGTCAGTCAAACACCAAACTCATTGCCGTGGAGTGGATGCTACCACTGCTTTCTCTCACGCACAGTCGACATCCAGAGGGGAGGGGAGAGGGACAGACGGTGACGCTGGTCCGTAGGCTCAAGTTCAGAGGGTGACAGATGAGGAGCAGAATCATCGCTCTCACTGCCGTGGGGTCTATTCTGACTCACGGTGACCCTACAAGACGGAGGAGAACTGCCCCTGCGGGTTCTGAGGCTGGAAATCTTTATAGGAGTAGAAAGCGTCTTCCTTCCTTCCGCTGAGCAGCTAAGGGTTTCCAGCTGCTGGCCTTGTGGTTAGCTGCCCAACTCATAATCCACGACGCCACTAGAGCTCCAGGGGCAGGAGACGCCATCTCAATAGCCTGCTTCTAAGGAACCCTCTACAGTCAGAATGGCTCATGAACCACTGTCCTCAAGATAGGGCCTCTCCCCACTTAGCTAAGCTGCTTGTGGGTCAACAAAGGCTTTATCAGCATACTCTCTAAGTCAGCTGCTACAAAGACCACTGGGGCTTTCAAATAGGGCTGTGTCATGTCCCAACAACCGGTCCAGCAAGCTCAGAGCAATCACAATAGCGCCAGTGATTCCTAAACACCGGACGGCCCACCTGACAAGAACTCCGGACACAAACAGACTCAGCAGAGGTCACTGCTACAGTGAAAATGACCTCTAATTCTTATCAAAGCATCCTGTCCTGAAATACCAGTCTTCCACTGTATAGAGAGCCTCAAAGGGAGGGTGGGTTGGAAGGATGGAAGGATCCGATTACAAGGATGTACATGTGACCTCCTCCCTGGGGGATGGACAACAGAAAAGTGGGTGAAGGGAGACGTCGGACAGGGAAAGATATGACAAAATAATAATTTATAAATTATCAAGGGTTCATGAGGGAGGGGGGAGC